TAAATTAATAATTAAAGATCATCACTGTAACCAAAACTAATATTCTACTGAGATGAAACTGGGGTTTCAAGCTATAACTTTAATTGCATGTACACATGTTTGAATGAAGGAAGCCCAAAAAACAAACAAGAATATGTTCTCCATATCCTTGTAGCTAGTTACAGCCCTGTGAAAGATATCTCTATAACAATAGTCGAGGCATAAGAGACTCGGAGATATTACTTCAAGAATATCTCATGATTTTGACAAATGCGTAATATTTAACAGAAGACTCCGATTTATTTTTAAAGATTCATAAGACACGGCACTGTAAGTTGAGAATTGATCACAAGGACTAAAAAGAAGTAACTTGTAAATTAATGAAGCCAATTCTGTGTAACAAACTTACTAAAATACTTAATTTTATAAATCAACACCTCAGAAAAGTAAATAATTAGAATATACTAACTCATCCATTAGGTATAATGAGACACATTTACCCAACTTTTTCTTTACATCATTTTAAGTTTATTCAATATTGTATATAAAATACACTGCATAACAACATTAAAAAAAAGGGATACATAAAGTTCTTCACTTTCTGTAAAAAGGTAATTTTAATAGACTTGTATATAACTTTAAAAGTGACTTTGAGTACATACATAACCCTAGACTTAAGAACTGCACTATTACAGTTCAAACTACATTTTTAAACATTGTATTAAAGTTACTTCATAGGCCATTACCTATCTCAATAACCAACATAATATTGCTGTAGTTGAAACAGCTACTAATTTTACCATTCTCAACTAGTAGTTGTTTCAAAACCTTGAGATAAGGTCTAAGGACAAGCTTTGTACATGACATGACAGGGTAAAAATGTGGTAATTAGGGTTAGTAAAAAAATGTCTTACTATTCAATAGATCATTTGCTTGTAGTAGAGCTCCAGATTCAAATAATGTTCACTGGAGATGTAAAAGTGGATCTCGTAAGATCCATTTGACTGTAATTCATCTTGTTAGAGAAGTATTTTTTACAGTAAAATTCTCAGAACTATAGTACACACACACAAAAAAAAAAAAAAAA